AGACCCCAGACACTATATCTTTTGATAGCTGGGCACCATCAGCTTTCTTCACCACATTAGCTTATTCACCCATTTTGTCTTCAGCGATCGTGTAGGGAAGGTGAGCATCATTGAATGCCAGGTTACTAGAACAAAGGGTTCTTGCATTGAGGGAGTACTTGAGTAGAGGCCCAATGTCTGTCTGCTACCTTAATACTTAACATATAAATAGATACATAGATCTATTTCCCAATTGTTATATATATGTTTACATATGTACGTGCTTGTGTTTAGACCTCTATAAATGCCCGTTGCCTCCTAGCTCTTTCCTCTATTTCCTTTTACTTTCCTCTTGTCTCACTGTCATGCTCGGCCTTCATTCGGGTTTCAATAATTCCTCTCAGCTACATTGCCCTTGATCAAACCCCACCAGGCCTCCTAGACCAGCAGGCTACGATTCTTGTAAGCTAGCCCTATGGACTCATTTCTTCCTGAACCTTTCGCGTTACTTTATTCTCTCTTGCCCCAGAGATGTTACTCCTCATCAGAGTACACCGACAAAGAATGTAGAACATTACTTTGTGAACGAGGTCATGCCAGCTGACAAAGTCGTCCCCACAGACTATAGCCCCAAGCCTTTAATCCAGTAAGCCAATCCCACAGTCGTTTGGTTTTGCTGATGGAAGCAACAGTCGAGAGATAAAAGGATGTTTTGCATTAGGTAAGTCAGAGTTTGAGAAGCTAGGGTGCTACCGTGAGGACTGAGGCGCACCTGACCCAAGCCTTGGGATTCTCCATTGCATCATCTGCATGTGAGAGTTTGACATTGATTAAGGAAGATCCAAGAAGGATCGATGCTTTTGAATTTTGGTTATGGAGCATATTGAAAACATCGTGGACTGCTAAAAGAACAAACCGATCCCTCTTGGAAGAAGTAAGGCCAGCGAGCTCCTGACAGGCAAGGATGGTGAGACTTTATCTTACATCTATGGGACCGGTTGTTGGAGAGACCAGTCCCTGGAGAAGGACCTCAGGCATGGTCAAGTGGAGGGCCAGTGGAAAAGAGGAAGGCCCTCAGGGGATGGATGGACAGAGGGGCTGCCACCGTGGGCTCTGGCACAAGCACCATGGTGAGGATGGTGCCTGGCTGGGCAGTGTTTCCTTCTGTTGGGCATGAGGTCGCTGTAAGGGTGGGCACCTCACAACAAGGACGCCTCCGTCACTATGCCCGCCGGTGTGACGTGTCACCTGCGTGGGTCCGTATGCAGCACATACCTACGTGGATATGCCTGGGCCTACCACCCTGGCCCATGCGCCTGCTTGGGCTCTCCCACGCCCGCCTATCCACACGTGACTGGCTTGCATCCCTGCTCCCCATGCACGGCCTTCCTCTTGTTGTTTCAGGACCTGGAGGAGCGGGAGAAGGAGCTGCAGAGCAAGCTGTCCGACACAGAGCAGCCGGCCCCTGGAGACTCCGAGTACCTCTCGCTGGCCGAGGTGGAGAGGAAGGAGCGGGAGTGTGCTGAGCAGCTCACCGATAATGTACGCCGTGGGTCTTCGCTCCATCCCAGAGCATCCACTTCGGGGGCAACAACATTGGTTCGAGTAAAGGATGATACTTGGGGGCATTTCTCGATCTTGTCC